CAGGGGAAATACCCAGTGCCGGGAGCAGTGCCCAGTGCAGGGGGGTCTTTTTTCAGGGTCCCTCGAGTTACCCCTGTCCGCCTGAGCCCTGCTCTAGACTAGACTAGACGATTCTGGAGGCGGACACAGAGGGAGGCCAAGGTCTTGGTAGGTGCCAGGGAGCTGGTCTGAGGGAAGGTGGTGCTGCACCCCGCCACCCCAAGTCCTCAGACTCTGCCTTCCAGTTCCTGGTCCTCTCCAGAACAGACCTGGCTGTTCCTTTCCTGCTCTTGGTTTCTCTGTCTCTAAAGAAGCTGTCCTGCCTCCCCTCTAGCCGAGGCACTTTGGGAGTGACGGGGGCAGCTAGCGGAGGCGCTTCACTGGCTGGACCCTGCTCTGGGCTGAGGGGGAGCACCTGAAGGCAGGACAGCGGTGATGGTTGTTACTCTCTCCTTCCCCATCCCCCCTCCTGCTGAGCCCTGCTCTGTCCCCCAGAGAACTTGGCCTGGCCCGACTGTGTGTGGCGGGGACAGGGCAGCCCTGTGGCAGTGTGTGCCTTGCCTGGCCCTCCCTGTGTGGGTACATGTGTCCCACGCTGCTGAGGAGGCCCTCTGTTGGGCCTCCAGGAGGGCTAGTCAGCTCACGCCTTCTTCCCCAGCTCAGACTAAGAGCTTCTCCGATTCCATTCTCTCTGCCTTCACACAGACTGGGCCCCATAATAGACATGTGCTCCCCCTCCCCTCTGCTGCTTATAGGATCTTAACTCTAGAGCCAAAAGGCCGCCAGGTTTGGCCTCCTCCTTGGACATTTACTGGCCCCGAGGCCAGAGAGATTGCCCAAAATCACACAGCTAGTAAGTGGCAGAATCTGCATTTCAGCCCGGGTCCCCTAATCCTGAAGCCAGCCGCTGTCCCATGCAGCCTCTCTTAGAGCCCCCAACCCCCCACCCGAGGCCTTTCCTGCCCCCCAGCTAGTGGGACCCTCTGCCCCAATGCTTCTTTGTATGTGTATTGTATGTGTCTCCGTAGAGAGAGAGATTATGTGTTTTATATGTATGTGTGCATATATACATGTATATGCCTATGTACACATACATCAAGAGGGTGTAAAATGAGATAATATTTGTAAGGTACCTACATCCAGTGAGGGCCAGGTGTAGACGTGCTACTTACTATTGCTCTTAATTGTTTACTTCTCTCTGGGCTGGTTAGTTCCTATCAGTGAAATGTCAGTTCCTTGAGGGTGGGGACTGTTTGGGTCTTGTCCGTGAACCCCTAGTGCTCAGCACAGGGCCTGACCCAGAGTGGGGTCTCAATAGAAGCTGACTGAATTGTCTGAAGCCCCAGGACCACAGCTGTTCCTCCCCTGGTCTTCCCCCGAGCCCTGACCTGGGCACCTGGCGTAGGTCACCAGCTCCCCCACAAACTGCCTGGCGTGCACCACCTTCTGACTCGTCCTGTTTGGGAGAAAGGCCCGGCCAGTAGGGCAGTGATCAAGGAAAAGACGGTTTCTGCTTTGAAATGTTGCATCAGCTGACAAAGAAGCAGAGGTCCCGGCCTTTAACCGGCACCCCCTTTCTCTCTGCCAAATGGGGCCACGGGGTAGTTTGGATGAGGGCCCTGAGTCAGTGGCCAAGGTCCCGCACACAGCCTCAGCCAGTGTGTGGAGAGCAGCCACGTGGCCCCTGGTGTCCATGCCCTGGTCAGACCTCATCTGGGCTCTTGTGCTCAGTTCTGGGCCCCACACGCTGTACAGCTGGGGAGTGTCTGTCCCCAGGAGGGAGCATGATTGCAGTAATGAGGGCCCTGCAGACCAGGCAGTAGAGGGACAGGGTCCCGGGGCTCTGTGTGTCCTGCCTGGAGAAAAGGAACCATCGGCCTAGGATCAGCGCCAGAATGCAGCCCACAGGCCACCCTGTGACCTCTCCGTGTTTGCAGATGAGTGGCCTGGGAAGGGCTGTCTGGGGGAGGGCCCCAGAGATCCCCTGACGGGTCAGGGAGGGGGAGTTCCTGTCGAGATCCAGGCCCCTCAGGTCCTTCCCGACACAGAGATTCTGAGAATTTCATGAAGCAGTGTAGGATGGAGCTCTGGGTGACAGGCCCCAGAGTCCCCATTACTCTGGAGTTGGAGGACCTGGGCTCAGATCCCGCCTCTGACCTTCACAACCCGTACGACCTTGGGCAGTCGCTTTTGGGCCTCAGTTTCTGTAGCATGCTCGTCCTGGCCCAGATGACCTCTGTGTCTCCTCCAATTCTAGAGCCAGGATCCCACGGGCTCACTGTGGGCCGGCCACTCGGGAGCCTCCTTGGAGGCCGGAGACTTGACTTGAGCCTAGACCAAGGAAAGAATGTGGAGATAAGTGGCCTCCATCCTTCGGGCTCCAACGGGAGGCTGGGGGGGCAGCAGCTTTGGGCACCACTCTTGGGTGGTCAGGTCCCACTAACGCCCGACTTCTCTGTGCCCACAGAACCATGGGCTCCATGTTCAGGAGTGAGGAGGTGGCCTTGGCCCAGCTTTTCTTGCCCACGGCCGCTGCCTACACCTGTGTGAGCGACCTGGGAGAGCGCGGCCTGGTGGAGTTCCGAGATGTGAGTGGGTCTGCAGGGAGGAGGTGCTCCCTGGAGACGGGGCAGGAGGGGCTCCCCGGCCTCGCAAAGTTACCGGGAGCCAGGGGAGTCAATGGTGGGTGTACTTACCTCTTCAGGCACCTTGGCACCTCTGGCTATAAAGATCTGGGGCCAAATGTGCTCTGTCGGGGCTATGAGAGAAATGACTTCCCCAGGGTCTCATGGGGACCAGTGAACGGAACTCAGGACTCAGGCTCAAGAATCCCCACCACTCATCAGCCAACTCCCTCCCCATCTCCGAGCCTCAGTTTCCTCCTCTGCAAGCCTTTGGGGCTGGATCCCTCTAAGGTCCTTTCCAGCTCCAAAATTCTTTGCTTCGTTTTATTTTACTTTCCCCCTTTTTTTTTTGGTAACAAATAAGCATAGTCGAGTCGAACCAATTCCCACATTGGCCGGGTCCAGAAATGCGCCTTATTTTTCGCGCTGAGTCCATGCCCTCTCTACTGGGAGGTGGGTGGCATGCCTCACCTTTCTTTTTGTTTTAAAGCACGTTCTAGTAAAGGCTGGCGTATATTCACACTCATATTTATGTAACTAGCATTTCTATAAATTATGATACCCATTTATAGGGGAAAGAGCTAAGGCCCACAGAGGGGAAATGACTCCGACGAGGTGATACAGCCACTTTGGGTCACAGCCAGGTCGGGAAACTAGGCCCCCTGGCTTCTAGGGAGTCCCACCCCTTTGCTCTTTCACTGCTGAATTTTGGTTGAGCTCATTGGGGGTTGGGGGTGGGGGGATGGGCTGAAAGGGAGCCAGTAGCGCCAGTCCTGGTCAGCATCGCAGACCCCAAGCTTCAGGAGTCATTACAGTGCTGCAATCAGAGGACCTGGATTCAAATTCCGCCACCAGTGCGTTGGAGGTCATCAGGGCTCAGTTTCCTCACTTGTAAAATAAGGAGCTTAGACTAATGCCTGAGAGCTTCTTTGGCTCTTCAGTCTGAGGTGCCAACAGACCCGCGGTGAGCGCTGACCGTGTGAAGGCATCTGGGGGCCTGCAGGGTTCTCGCTGACCCTGTGTTTCTGGCTGCAGCTAAATGCCTCGGTGAGCACCTTTCAGCGGCGCTATGTTGGGGAGGTGCGGCGCTGCGAGGACCTGGAGAAGACGTTCTGTAAGTACAAGAGTGGAAGCTGGGGCTGGGGCCGAGCTAGGTGGCCCTAGCAGCAAAGGGGGAAGAAAGGAGGAAGGCAGCACAGAATACCCGGGCTTTCTCTGGGAGCCGAGGCTCAGGCCAAAGGAGGCCCCAAAGCTCTCCTGGGGACATTGTGATCCCCCAGAATTCCCTGTTCCCTTTTCTGATGGGGCAATCAGGGCTGGGGGTGGGGTTGGAGAGAAGAAGGCAGGCATCTGGGCTACTGTGCGTGTCTGTCGCATCCGTCTGTCGGAGCTGCCGTCGCACGTTATCCACAGCGCTTGGAGAGGCTCATTTGAGGTCTGAAATCAGGATCCAATTTAGTGACGCGAGCTGCTCCTACCTGAAAAGGGGTTGTGAAGTTCTTTGGTGATTAACCAGCTCTGCTGGCTAAGGCGAGCAAGGCTTGTTGGGTGGGAAACAGAGGAAGGGTCTGTGAGAGCAAAAGTATGGACAGCTGGAGGGGGTGAGGAGGCATGGTCGGAAGGCCAGTGTGGCGGGTGCCGGGGCAGCACAGGGCTTGGGCTGAAGAGGCTCCTCTGCCCTACAGAATTACACTTCTGCAAGGGTTTTCTCCAGGTTCTGTATCTCCAGAGCCCAGTCTGGGACCTGGCACACAGTGGGTGCTTGTGGAGTCGAGTTGTCGGCCTCAGAGCCTCTGGGA